GACGGAGGCTGGAAACGATTTTTAAAAACATCTTATGTATTTTAAAAATATATATTTTATTTTTATCAGTGAAGATGAAAATAAATGAATAAATAAACTGTGCTGGATTTATGACTTTATTAAATAATCAGTTAAAGTTAACTCAGCTGAAGCATCATAAAGACACAAATTATTGGATGTCAGGAACAGGTCAAACCCTGGATCACCACTGACCTGAAGGAACTGCTAAACCAGAAAAAAATAGCCTTCAGGGAGAGAGACAGGGAATTATTGAGGAGCACACAGAAGCAACTAAAAGTCAAGATAAGAAACAGCAAGGAGGTGTACAAGAAGAAGCTGGAGAGACAGCTCCAGCAGAACAATATCAGAGAGGTGTGGTCAGGGATGAAACAGATCACAGACTTCAAGCAGAAGGAGGATCAGAAGGATGGAAGCCTGGACAGAGCCAGTGAACTGAACACATTCTTCAATAGGTTCAGTTCAGGAACAAGCTCAGCATCCTCCTCTCTTGCCCACAGCCAAACATACATACCACCCTCCACTGACCCAAGGCTGTCCTGTCACATCTCAGATATTGTATCTACCACTTCAGTCATGGACCCTTCTTCTACTTATTGGTCTTCAACCAACTCAGAAGATGCTGATACCTCCTTTGCCTCCCCCCTCTGCGTCTCCAGAAGTCAGGTGAGGAAGCAGCTGCAGAGACTGAACCAGAGTAAGGCTGCAGGTCCAGATGGTGTCAGTCCCAGAGTCCTGAAGGTCTGTGCAGAGCAGCTCTGTGGGGTTCTGCAGCACCTCTTCAACCTTAGCCTGACCCAGGAGAAGGTTCCAGTGTTATGGAAAACCTCCTGTCTTGTTCCAGTACCAAAGAAAACGCACCCATCAGTCCTCAATGACTATAGACCTGTTGCCCTGACATCCCACATCATGAAGGTCCTAGAGAGACTTCTGCTGACCCACCTGACTAGACAAACAAGCACATATCAGGACCCACTGCAGTTTGCTTATCAGCATGGACTTGGAGTTGAAGATGCCATCATTCACCTGCTTCAGCAGACTCACTGTCATGTAGAAAAGGCAGACAGCACTGTGAGAGTCATGTTCTTTGATTTCTCCAGTTTAACACAATCCAGCCTGATCTGCTTTGTCAGAAACTCCAGAAGACTCAGGTGGAGGCCTGAACAATCACCTGGATCAAAGACTACCTGACGGACAGACCACAGTTTGTGAGACTGAAGGGTTGTGTGTCTGACCAGGTGGTCAGTAGCTCAGGAGCACCACAGGGGACTGTACTCTCACCATTCCTTTTCACTCTGTACACCTCAGATTTCTAGTACAAACCAGACTCCTGTCATCTGCAGAAATATTCAGATGACTCTGCAGTGGTCGGGTGTATCAGAGATGGACAAGAAGCTGAGTACAGGGAACTGGTGGACCACTTTGTGGCATGGTGTGGAAACAATCATCTCATCTTGAATGTGAACAAAACAAAGGAGATGATTGTAGATTTCAGGAGAAACAGGAACAGGTCCAACCCTATTTCCATCATGGGAGAAGAAGTGGAGGTGGTGGAGAAGTATAAATACCTTGGAGTTCACCTGGACAACAGACTGGACTGGAGATGCAACAGTGAAGCGTCTACAAGAAGGGACAGAGCAGACTGTACTTCTTGAGGAAGCTGAAGTCCTTCAGTGTTTGCAGCAAGATGCTGCATATCTTCTATAAGTCTGTTGTAGAGAGCGCTGTCTCTTCTGCATCATCTGCTGGAGGAGCAGCACCAGAGCAAGTGACTTAAAAAAGATCAACAAGCTCATAAAGAAGGCTGGCTCAGTTCTGGGGACTCCTCTAGAACCTTTGGAGATGATTGTACAAAGAAGGATTCTTCATAAAATGAAGAACATTATAGACAACCCTCAGCATCCTCTTCATCAGACTGTCATACAACATCAGACTGTCATACAACAACAGACTGTCATACAACAACAGACTGTCATACAACATCAGACTGTCATACAACATCAGACTGTCATACAACAACAGAGTGTCTTCAGTCAGAGGCTTCTTCAAATCCGTTGTAGGACAGACGCTACAAGAGATCCTTCCTGTCCACAGCATCAGCATCTAGAACAACTCTTTAATGAAACCAGGATGATGAGTTACAACATTTATCAATCAATCAATCAACCTTTATTTCTACAGGTAAATCCCATTGAGCCTCGAGGACTCATTTACAAGAGAGACCTGATTTCAACAAAGAAAGATGACAACAATGGACAACAGCAACAACAATAAGCAGTTATAAAAACTCATACTACAGGTTTTTTTTTTTTGTTTTTTGTTTTTTAACAAATAGGATGGCTAAAAGGAAAAAGGTAACAAAAACAAAAAAACAGCTAGATTCCAAGACAAATGTATAAAACTAAAAACAGGAACATGTCTGCATTGGACCCTGCCAGGAGTCCAACAGATTCTTAAAGCCACTTAGAGAGGTCAAAGGTCGAGAGCTTCAAATCTTTTTGTCTATCTTTTTGTATTTAATTTCCCTCTGGGATTAAAAAAGTATTTTTGAATTGAATTGAATTGAATCTCCCTCAAACATGTTTAAAGATACAGCCTTTGGTTCAACTTTAGAGGAGGCGGAGCTTGTTTGGCCTTGGTTCGTGTCCTTCTGTCACACTTTGTGCAGATTGAAAAAGTCCAAATGTGACCCGGCGTTCACTGGTCGGCTCGTTTCTGTCCGAGTTGTCTCTGTTTGAAGGATGAACTCATTATCTGTGATGATGAAGAGCTGAACTCTGTTTGGACCGGCTGCAGATAAACCGAGCCGGGACCTCCTCCTGAAGCGCGCTGGGTTTTGTTTGTGGTTCAGCTGAACTCTGCGTGACTCGGGTTGATTCAGACGGTCGTGCAGCAGGAAGCTGGGCTCATCTAACCTTCACAAGTTTCTCCTGTTTTCAGCTCCTGGACTCACTGGCATCGTGGGCGGGCGGCCCAAAGTGTGAGTGTCTTTCTGTTCCCCATAAATCACAAGAAGTTCTTGGCTCCTTCACTCACGTCTGCTTGTGGTTCTGACCCGCAGGTCTCCGGTCCTGAAGCCGTTCTTCTTCCTGCTCCCAAAGTCTCAAACAAAGGTCAGTTCAAGTTTCTTCTCTGGTCTTCAGATGAAATGTTTTGACCCAGACTGTTGAAACCGAAACACGTCATGCAGTTCATGAACTGATAAAAAACTGTTTTTACCCTGAAAGCTCAACAAGCTGAAACTGAGTCCAAATTAAAGAGCAAAACACTAGCTAAAGGCTAAACGCATCTAAATATTAGCTAAAAGTAGCAGGAGGCTAGGTCAAAATAACAAAACACTGAAAGATGTAAGTTATCCAACCATCCATCCAACATCCATTCATCAACCATTCATCCAACCATCCATTCATCCATCCAACCATCCATCCATTCATCCATCTATCCATCATCCGTCATCTTTACCAGTTTCTTCTTTTTTGGGTCACGGGGGTCACTGGTGCCCATGTCCAGCAGTCACAGTGTGAGACGTGGGGGACATCTGGACAGGTTTCAGTCCATCACAGGGACAACTGGACAGGTCTCAGTCCATCACAGGGACAACTGGACAGGTCTCAGTCCATCACAGGGACATCTGGACAGGTTTCTGTCCATCACAGGGACAACTGGACAGGTCTCAGTCCATCACAGGGACATCTGGACAGGTTTCAGTCCATCACTGGGACAACTGGACAGGTCTCAGTCCATCACAGGGACAACTGGACAGGTTTCAGTCCATCACAGGGACATCTGGACAGGTCTCAGTTCATCACAGAGACACCTGGACAGGTCTCAGTCAATCACAGGGACAACTGGACAGGTCTCAGTCCATCACAGGGACAACTGGACAGG